GTACATTTCTTCCACCGATCTGCACTCACTTAAACTTAACAAATCAAATTTCCTTTTTAACTCATAGCTCTTTTCACATTGGCAAAACAAGTGATACTTTGAAAATTCCATATTACATCTAGGACATAAATTATCAGCATACGAGTAGAATTTATTATTTAACATTAATATTTCTGAATTTAGACGTATTTGAATAAAAAACCGTTTTATAACAAAAGGTAGATTCGATAGAATATAATTATTAATATTTGGATAGTTCAATAGTGAACCATACCAGTTTGGTTTTAAACGTGAACGGTTGTCTTCTATGTCATGTGATAATAGAATATCTAAAATGCTATGCGTTAGCTGACTACACAAATCTTCACTTAGATTCGGCGAAAAGATAAATGGAGCAATTGAGAAACCATAACTATTGATCACTCTTGAAATTTGAGCTATCCAATTCCTTTTAGAATTCTTCTGTACAGAATACTTATATAACTGTTGTAGCAGATTGAATGAAATATCTCCACTATCTCTTATCTTCATTAACAGCATCATAGTTCTCTTGATAAATAATGCAGTGGGACTGTATCTGCTTACTTCTAACCTTAAAGCACTCCCCGGAATTTTATATTCCAAGCAAAACAATCTTCGAATAAATTTGTTCTGGATAATCTCCAGTTTCTGATAGTTGGCCATACACCAAAATGGTGATGCGTAGCTCACTGAATTATATACAATTGAATTGAATAGGTTAAACTGTGTTTGTATATTTCTTAGATGTGTCTTAGCAAACAATTTCATTACACCATTAATCATTCTATTAGCTTTAATCATCATCATCCTAGTATGTCTATCAAAGGACAGTAAAGGTGTCAAGATAATCCCCAGAAACTTGATTTCATTGACCAATTTTAATTCATTATTATTAATGTAGAAGGACATAGTTCTCTTAATGTGTATAATTGTGGTTTTCTTTATATCATAATGAAATTAAAAAAATTCGTAGAAAAATTTTAAATTTTTATTGAAGTATTAAGAATTTATTTGAATATCCTATTATATTGAGATATTGCTTAATGAATCTTTAGTTGATCACTTTTAATTTGAAAAAATAAGTTTGTTTTAATTGCACTGTGAAATTTATTTGTGTGTTTATAATACATTTATTATTAATAGGAAGGTCCACCTGTAATTGATTTGATTCATCTTCTAAGTGTTCCAGAAACCAAAAATCGCATTCGTCACGCACTCAAGTTGCTAACTTTGCCAGAATTAAATGATGGATCCAGAAAGTTTTTCCAACAAGGATAGTTTTTTCTAATTTTGTAATTTTAAAATAAAAATATTTAATTGCAAATTGTTTTGTTGCATGTGTACTTTTGTAATCTTAAATAAGTATAATTATATATCACTAAGCCCGATATATTAATAATTATATACTAATTAGTAATAGTGGTAATTATGCGGCTAATAACATTTTTAGTATATTAAACTTTTGCTAGATATCGTTAAGGTGTATTGTTTACAGTCTAATACTCAGTTTTCAGATATTGGCTGAAAATAATACAGTTTAAATTTGTAATTAGATTTATAATTAATATAATAAACCTATTGGTTTTAAGATATATTTACAGAAGAATTCCAGGCACTATGTAGGTCAGCCTTTCCAAACTACTGATTTATGGAACTTTATATAAATGTTTGAAAAATAAAACAACTTTTTCAGAAGACCTGTGTGTGGAGCAACTGAACTTTATTCTTATTCTATCAATATATATTTAAGAAAAAAACATATATTACTAGATACCTTCTTAACACTGCAAACTTTCTGTAACTGGTCTGTAAATTTCAGTTTGGGAAATGCTAAACTTGGTTTCTTTTAGCTTCAATCTTATCCTAATCCCTTTTTTTACTTCACTAATCCTATTCTAATCAGTACAATTCTTGTATACAAGCTTAGTTTAATAAATTATAGAGCATATTTTGTACAACTTGACTTATTACGTTTACTGTTTGGATAATTAAACCATTAGAATACTTGAATAACGGACAAAAGCATAAGAATATAATTAATTTTATTATCGTCAAAAATCTTTAAAAAGATAAATTAGCTACTATAAACTGTACAAATATAATAAAATTTGATATTAAAAAACGAAGGTGCTCACTTTTCAAAAAAATGTACAACCTCCATTCCTGGAGAAGTATAAATATCAAAGGATGTAATAGATGATCTATCACAGTTCTATCTCGTTCGTTGTTAAGATGCGTCATTGGTAACAATTAGCTAGAAAACACTATGCAGCGGCGAATTTAACACCGGTAAAACTCTTCTATTATCTTGACTGTTGACGTAATTATAAGGTGAAACGAACGGAGACGAAGGATAGGCACTTGAGGTGTTTGTTATCGTAGCATTCGAATGATTCATTAATGATGAATTAGTATAAAAGTTATAAGTAGGAGCACAACTTACTGATGGCAATTCTTGTTTACCGAAACAACTTATGGGTGGCGGGGTGAGATTCGGTTTCATAATAGGATCCGATGCGAATGAGGATGGATAACACATATTGGAGTATTGAGATATTTGCGATGTTGGCATCGATCGTTTATCTACGTCGTATCCTTGACTCAAACTTGGCATGTATCGTGGATCCATCGGTGGTAAATAAGTCATGGGAAAGGTGAATGCCGAATCCTGTTTCTTTGCTGGCGGTTTGGGCTTTCGACGAGGCCGATATTTGTAATCGGGATAATCCTTCATGTGTTGTTCACGCAATCTCTTTGCTTCGTCTATGAAAGGTCTCTTGTCTTCCTCTTTTAAAATTTTCCATTCCGCACCAAGGCGTTTACTGATTTCGGAATTATGCATCTTTGGATTTTCCACGGCAATTTTCCTTCTTTGCGCTCGTGACCAAACCATGAAAGCATTCATGGGTCGTTTAATGTGAGATTTTGACATTCCATTAATATCGTCGACCATCTTCATAAAATTCCTTTAAACTAGTACACGTGAGAGGAAGTCCTCCCTTATAAGAAAGGGCACTTAGTAGAATGGAGGTTCCTTATTGGCCGCTTCGGTTAGCCCTGCTCATTGGTCGAAGGGTGTCCAATAGATGAAAGGGCTCCATTCACACTGGCCTTTGTTCATTCATTCTTTCCCGATTATTTAATAAAATTGAATCAATGCGTGAAAGGTTCTCGGATGTGTGGTTAATTAATACGTTAGGACAATAATGTCCGATCTTATTGTTTCGTATATTACTAGTGTACGATTTAATTAATTTAGTAGATTTTTTTTAATAATTACGGGTGTAAGAGAGCAGACACCCGTAATATTTAAGAAATGTACGAATTATCCGGAATGCTTCCTTCAATAATGTGTTTAAGCGTTAGAATTTGCTGCATGACGATGCTAAAGTGCAATAATTTCGTTTCAGATTTCCCTTTATCGACGGGAATAAACTGAATCACAATACGAACATTAAGAAAATTCCAAACGTTTGCAACTTGATTCTATTTCTTTAATGGGGCGAAAATTCCGTCATTGACGGGGCACGACTCCATAGCGGCGAATTCAAAATGTATAGATTCTCTGCATAGGTTAATACAGTCTTTAGCTGACTGTTCAGTTGTATTGTACTATAAAGAATGAATCAAAGAGACGGGGGGTCTATAGGAACAGAACAGGCATGGAACTACGACACAACAGCGTAACTGGTGTCTATGTACGTTGAAGTGACGACTACAAGGCTTGTCTTGGTGATGGTATTGTTCCCCTATTCAACAGACGAGGCCGAGCACAGAGAACTGTCATTCATCGCTTAGCTTTAGACTCGGTTCTATTATGACACATGCAGTAGCAGTCTGCGTGGCTCCGACATCTGTCCTTCTGAGTGCATTGTCGTTCTCCCGTGCACACCTGTGCACCCCGGCAGCGGAATGTTTAGCGGTGGGAACCGAACGGTCGGCAATTGTCGCTTTGTGTCCGTACCAAATACTGATTGATTTAGAATAGAAGGGCATTGGATCGTAGAGGCATTCTAGCCGTAGAAAGAAAAGGCTTTCCTATCGAACACTGACTCATATTATGGCTAGCTGTTATGTATAAGACGCTCGCCCATTCATACTGGTCACCACTGTGTTCTGTCCCTACTAAACCTCGCTATTGAGTACGTCAAAGGTCCTTACTGGTCCCTTTGTGGCCTTAGTGTCGGATAATGTATGCATTGGTGGATTCTTTTGTGTCGTAACAAAGCCGACACTCTTCAATCGCCTCGAATTTTCACACATGCACTTCTTCATTTCCAACAACGTGCTTCGATTTTACTGAAATGAACCATATTTTTTATCTGATAAACTCTCCATTCTACAAGAATCTTTTGTCGTCTCCCGAAACACATCACCAGCAAAAATATTCTTTTTAAATGTCTAAATTTAACTTAACCATTTTACATTTTTCCGTTCTTCTTTTGCAGATTCCGCAAAACAAAAATATTATATTTATGTTTTTTCAATTGCACATTTTATTTTTGAAGAAAATTCCGTGAATAGTGTATGAACATTTTCTTATTACCGTCTGCCATTACTATTTTCATCTAACTGTCTCTTTTGATTGATGAATAGGCCCTTTGAGACGTTAAACGAGGTACTCGGAGGTGATGACTTCTTAACGAGACTTTTACATGTAAGAAGGTGACATTTTTCCCAATAGTTTTGCCTACAGGGTGCATACTTTTATTGTACCATTCAAATTTGTCACCTAATATAATATAATACAAATTTTATTGTAGTTATTTTTAATGGTTAAAAGTTATAAATAATTTCTTAATTATTTATATTTTAAAGAAATTAAATAAAACTTTATTTATATTTAAATTATATTTATATAATTAAATAGTCTTTTCTTTTACGACAAACGAGCATTATTGGGCTATATTAAGGCTAATTTTATTAATTAATTATAAAGTAATTTGACTATAGGAAAGCGGCTAGGACGCCATCTCTTGATAAATTTAATAATTATAAGCAAAAAAAATTTTATAGTTTTTTAATAATTTATAAATAAAATTTTTAATTTTAATAATTAATTATAAAATAATTTGCCTAGAAGCAGGTGGTTAGGCTACCTCTCTTGATAATTTAATAATTATAAATAAATTCATTTTTAATTTTTAGATTGTGATTAATAATCAGATACAAAGCAGTTTGGTACAAGGTACGCAGTTAATTAGCCTTAATATAGCCCAATAAATAATCCAGTAGATCATNCAGGTTATGGATTGAATGTTTAAAAAATTTAAAAATTTGTAAACCTTAATTATTTAATTTAGAGATTATTTATAGATTCATCCATCAAAATTATTTTTTATAATAAATAATCAAAATTAAGAATCAAAAAACATTTAAATTAATTAACGATAAAAAAAGCTAAAAATATTTAAAAATTGTTTTATATTTTTCTACTCATAAAGGATGCCCGAAAATTTAAAAAAAAATTATGAACACGATTGAATTTTCTGGTTATTTTATTCTGAAATATTTGGATATTAATACGAATTTAAATATTTGTAGTGATTTAAGTAAGGAAAAGAATGACAGGTTACACGGTAAATACCGTTAGAAGTAATGGCCCTGAAGTAATTTGTTAAGTGTAGATAATACTTGGGACCTTGCGAAATTAGTTGTTCCCTTTCTTACTATTATCCTAAGATTTTAACCATTTTACACTTCAAATACACAAATTATTGCCGCTAGAAAGCTTTAGAAATTACCATTTACCTTAATTACAATTGTTAAAAATTGTAGTTAAGTGAGTGCTTTGAAAGTATTTACAAGATAATGGTGTGTTATTTGACATGAACTATTTTTAGAATTTATAAATTAAAAGTAGCAAATTATATTACGTTGATAAATAAATATAATTCTAAAAAATATTATGGATCGACTTCTTTTGAATCATTAACAATGGATGAAGATTGAGGGTTACAAACTTGTTTACAAAGTGTATACGTGTATATAATAACTTCACGTTCACTTTCAACGAATACAGGTGTGTAATATGCTTCTATGAACATAAAAATTGCCATAGAAGCGTACTATCGGGGTATATTTTTAAGTATTTCGCTTCCGTGGCAATCAAAATTACCATAGTAATTAAATGTAACCTCGTATGATAATGTCTATTGTCATAATAGTGTAATACAGAGTTTCTCAACACTTTTAAGAAAAAGCGTGGGAAAATACATTGTTTTAAATGTTATACTTTAATTAATTTAGTGTTGTTACAGCAGTTAAAAATTTGTAATAGAAGGGTAGTAATGTATTGTACTGTACTGTACCTATTGAATTGTATTGCTATTGTAACCAGTAACCATTGTAGTACAGTAAATTCATTGAAAGAATAACCAAATTTTGGTGAAAATGGTGAATAACCAAATTTTGGTGAAAATGGTGAATAACCAACAAATTTTGGTGAAAAGGATAGGAAAAAGTCTTTTGTTTACACCTTTATATACTTATAGATTGCTGTGGAAGCATAATTAACTGTAATAATACGTATTATAGATACAAGTTTTCTTTTCTATTATTGTACAATACCTATTATTATAACATTTGTATAGGTAATATACAACTGGACATTACCTATTATACAATAGTATTGTAAATTAATTGGAAGAAGTCATCCAAATTTTATGGTAAGAGGTGAAAAAATACATTATTTATAATTTTAAAAATTATAAAATGGATTTAAAGTTAAAAAAAAAATTAAGAAAAAATTGTGTTTTTGGAAAAGTTACAACTGTTATTTGTTTAGTTTGTTTTGTTCTACATTAAATTTGAATTAGTGTCAATTGCCGTTGTGAAACGTTTACAAACGTTGTGAGGCATTTTCAATTCTATGTTTTTTTCTCTGAGTTTTATCGATTAATAAATGATTTCACTATATTTTTTAATGTATTTACAGTTTATTTCGTACAATATTCAGTTGGCAGTACTGTATACAAGTTCTTAGAGATAGTATTTTTAGTATAATTAAACTATGTGTGTAGCATCAAGCTATTGATTCAGCAATACCATTAAAAATCTTTATATAAGGAAATTTTATGTTGATTTAATTGTATTTATGTACTACAGCTTAATTAATTTTTGATTAGTTTAGTTTAATATATTGTAGATAAATAGCGGTTGTAGTGTTTACATCACGAGTTATCATTGTAGTGTCTATTGATCTGTTCTGTACTGTACGTGAGAAATAGAGATGAAGATCATTTGGTCGTGATCTAAACTATTTATGAGAAGATTTCATTTATAGCGAGAAAACTGATTTTATTTATATTTTTTGCTACTGCAATATCCAATTATACTTGCGATTCCTTGCACGTTTGCCCACTCGTATGTCTGTTACTCCTATTCTTTAGCATTCACAAGTATCCTCCTTATTGATTTAGTAAACATATATATTATTATAGCATGATTTATTATATATTTATCTTTAAAACTGTATAATTTTTCTAAATTTTCGAAAATATTGAATAGAGAAAATATTCGAAAAAACTGAATAGAGAAGCATTGTTCTCGACAATGCTTCTCTATTCAGTTTACAACGTGAACTCATAAAAAAGTAATTAAATTGACTTCTATCGGGTTTGAAATATTATTTCACGAGAATAATACATCGATGACAAACAATAGAAAGACACGTTTACACTGCATGTATTGTAACAAATACAACAACAGGTAGCATAACACACCTGTCTTCTATCCAATGGACTTCCGACAAGAGACCATGTTAATATTTCATCCGAAAAGGTTGAAGCCGTTACCACGGACAACCGAAGAGGTGTATACTCTCTGCCACACAATAGCATGAGGGCGGTTAAGGGTAGGGCTTGCTTAAACCCTAAATACGACTGACAATAGATGTGTTGCTATTTATTCTTTGACAGGTTTATGGACAGAATGAATGACAATGCTCCAGGCTGTCCCCCTCCTGTTGTTACTTTCGAGAAGATGGAAGTGTTTTTACCTCCACAGCTTGTTTCATTGGAACTAATTTAGCTAATAGCCCCAATCCCGTGTTCGAAACAGTAAAATGACTTGTTCTTTGTCGCTATATAATTGACAATCCCTCTTTTTTTCCCTTTTGTTCAAAGTGACTGCAAATACATTCGAAGATTGTTCTTGTATTCAATAATATCAAAGATACAAACAATAAATATTGTTCTAGAACAATAATGCTTCTGAATGTAAATAAAAGTAAGCTTTGTCCCGTATTATTATCAATTTAAATGCATCAATTTATAATCATTGTATCTCAATTTCGTAATCGCGATAAAAAAGATATTGTGCCGAAAGAAGGCCCTATTGTAGTTGGTCTCAATTAGAGAGGACATAGAGAAAACAGTTACATATACTTTCTCTATGGCCAGGGTATCATATTTACGAGGCCTCCTCTGAAATATTTGTTACAAATTGTTATTCTATTGTGTTTTCTGTGTTGTTAAAATGTGTTTTCAACAAACTCGAGCCTCCTGAGAGGTTCTTCATATTGGAGGATAAGAAATAACTTACGCTTCTTATGCAGACACATATAACATAGTTTAATATTCATACAAAACGTATTGAATTACTTGTGTAGGGCGGATATCGATGGATAATATCTGGACACACAAGAACGAATAGCGAAGGTATCCACGTGGCACTCACCTTTACACCCCTTTTCTTCACTAGTGTTGCCATTCGGGGTTCTATAAATTTGAAATAATGCAAACTTTTACAAATTAAGCTTAGTTCACACTGGGCGCGATTCGCTGGCGAAAGCGAAAAACAGAGCGAATAACAGGTGAAATATGACTCGTTTGACGGGTTATTCGCTCTGTTTTTCGCTTTCGCCAGCGAATCGCGCCCAGTGTGAACTAAGCTTTACTTTACAATTAATTTTATCTTATAATACTTTTTCTGATAAATTGGGCCTCTGTAGGTCTGAAAGACAAGAGGCCTAAGGTCTCGTGAGCTCCGAGAGGCCTTGATGAATCGTATTAGCATACCTAAAAATAAGAAAAAATTAATGATGTGAGTTTAGTGAGCAATGTTATTATTTTCATTCAGGAGGCCTCAAAGGTCTACATATATTTAAAAAATAATTAAAATGCCAATCGATGTTTGGATATTATATTATGATTAGCCTACAATATATGCCGTGTATATATTATACTGTCTATACAAATAAAGATATTTGTTTTGCTTTATAGCCTTAACAGAGTACCAAATTTTATGCGTTTTGTACGTATAATTAAAACGTAAATTGATTTTAAATCTTTATTATTATAAAATGTATCGCTCAAGAAATTTACGGGCAGAAGAAACATTTCGCTAAGTTTAGAGTGTTTTTTTATTTCATAGCTTAATTAAGATCCTAGTGAATGAGAGGATACAGATAAGATATCAGCTGTAAATGCCATTTTAACAAACTGTCAAAAACACTTTAGAATAGTATTCAATTGATGTATACAGCAGATGGTAAAGTCGCTATACTATACTCCATCATCATTTATTGATTTCTGAGCGGATACAACGTCCGGTTTTTCTTGTAAATAGGCAGTAAATAATGCAGTAAAACCGAAAACCTGCAATAAAATATACTGCAAGGATGCTAAACTTAAGTACTAAAAGTACAAAAAGTAAGTTTAGACATGTACAAAAATTATGGATTTACTGTAGTTATTTATTAATATTGATATTTACTTTTTATACTTTAAATAAAGTATTTATTATACTTTACTTAAGTAAAACAGTAGAAAAAATAAGTAAATAAACATGTAATTTATTTATTTATCAAATTATATATTTATTTTAATGTTAAATAACATGTTAACAATGCTATTTAACTTCGAATATTATGAAAAAAATATATATTTTTTTCTGTATGTAGATGCTCATGAATAAAATTTATAATATTCTGTGTCATATAATTTGATAAAGGCTCGAGATATAATTCTATTGAATTTATTGTAAAAAATATTAATAAATATTTAAATTAATTGAAGAAGAAAGTATAAATTTGTGATATAAAATAAGTTTAAATGGTCAGTTTTAAGTGTGTTTTTAATAATAAAAACTTTTAAAATTTTAAGATTAAATATTAAATAATCATATTCAAGTTTAATTAATTAATTAATACGAAATAATTTTTTTAAATTTAAAACATTCAAAGTCTTTTTATGGAAATTTTATATAAAATATAGACTAATGAGTTTCTTTTGACTGTATTTAACATGAGATTATATCATATTTCTAATATTAATTATTAAAATTTCAAACTTAAAATATTTTTTCGAGATATTTATCGAACTGACAAACAGACGAACTGCTAAATTAATTTTTTTTCTTACTTAAAAGTGAATTAATAGCGAGTAGTATTGATTTTAATCGTAATATAAGCATATTCTATACGCTTATATAAAGTATAATGCACTATATATGAATTTATTTATGGAAAATAAGCGATTAACTAAATACTTTTATCTAATGAATGGTACTATTATTGTAAGTAATGTAAATTACTTGTTACTTCGCAACAAATGTATAAATAATTGAAGATCCTGTTAACACAGCAGGGTTATTCAGTAAGTAAGCATTGTTTACAATAAATACTGCTACAAGCCGGAAGGCAGAGAACGAAAATACTTCTAATAGAAGGGTTCTTCCAATTCTTGGAAACGGGGAGCAGTCTTACAGGTGGGGCGTAAATTCTTTATTTACAGTTTAAAAGGGTTTTGATTGGAAATATACCGGTACGTGTTAAACGGGATTTTAAAAAGCCGTAAAACTCATAAATGACGTCACATTAAAAATCGAAATTAATGTTGGTAAATATGCCATCTATCGGCGGAATGTTGAATTATTATTATTATTTTTATTATTTTAAAGAAGAAAATAACCGTTATTTAAACATTTTAATACATTACAAAATATATATATTATTTATATATTACAAAAATACATTAAATTTTTGAAAATAATACAAAAAAATATATATAAAAAAAAATTACGACCATAGACATGATTACAGGTAAAGTACGTCTGCTTACATTTTTATGAGAAGTATATCGATTTTAATTCATGAATTAATAATAATTAAACCGTACGTATATATTATTAAATAATGTAAGAGTAGATAAAACTACGTACGTATTTTAATTTAATATAAACACGGAAGGTTTTGATATTTAATAATTCAAACGAACGCCGCGGGTGGCGTCGTTGCAGCTACGAATATGGACACATCGATGAAGAGGAGGGAAGGGACGGCTGGAGAATGGCAAGTCGGATCTGGAGGGCGAGGACCGTCGTCGAGCGATGTTTGGCCCGAGTTTCGAACAGAAGAGTTCACACGCGAAGGGTCGACACCATCGCTACTCAGAAAGCCGCTAAAGATTTCGTATTTCTCTTATCGCCCGACGAAAGGACCATCTTGCTGGAAGAATTAGATAATTTCCAGAAAGCTGCTAAACAAGGTGAGGTTTTCTCCAACCGATTTTGTATTTCCAAGGTATTTTTTCGGGTGGAATTAATGCCCAGCGTGAAAATTACCGTCGGGCCTTCCGTTTAGCCGCAACTCGAGTGACTTTCCATTTTTAAAAGTCCTTGTTTACGTCTAGTGAATGCTGAAAATTCCTAAGAGAATTCGATTATAAATGCGTTAAAAATGTGTCAATTTCGTCGGGAATTTACTCGTGCAGGGCTCGTGCATGAGAATTACATTATAAATGTGTCAATTTCGTGGTGTTCGTCGGAAATTTACACGTGCAGGGCTCGTGCATGACTTCTGATGTATGGCTCGTGTAGGGCCTCTTAAGTAGGCCTCTCAGAGCAACCTTTGAGAGGGCCTTTATGTGTAAATTTTATGGTGATGAATCTGTAGGGCCTCTCAGGTTGCTAGAGAGGCCCTACACAGAGGCATGCTATTATTATTCTATTATATTAAACAAAACAATGTTAGAAAAGTTATGTTTTTAAATAAAACTTGGCAAAAATAAAGGTGTTTTTTTTCCTTTCTTTCTTTCCGTTATATACAAGAAACTTAATAGAAGTAAGAAATGCTAAGGGTGGACTAAATGAACCGGCCGACCTTGTCTTGGGGCCCGTCTGCACAATTTTATGGCCGAACGCACGCATCAAAATCTGTCTCTTTCCGTTAAATAATAAATTCAATTTACTAAATTAAATAAACTTTAATTTTAGAATATGGAAATTTCATGAAGCGATGCAAAATTTGGATGCAGTTTTACAATCGGTGCACGAATACAGATTTGTAAATATATGCAAGATATTTTTCTATTATATATTTCTAAGAATAAGTAAATTTTAAGGGATTAAATTTATTAAAGTGTTAAAATGTATGAATTTGTAATTAATATAATTATTTTAATGGTTAATGTATGTAAAAATTTGTTTTTATTTGCACGTTTAAGATATTCTGCTACACAATGTGTGCCAATAAATACTTGCAAATTTATAAGCATTAATGTGACAGCCGCTTCCATTAAAGAATGAATTGTAGAGGATTGAGAATAATCCGAATAGGATTACACTATAAATATATTCTTTTGAAAGTTTTAAATAAATTTTCTATTTTTATAAAATGCAATTTTGTTTGAAAATTGGCATGTATAGCTTGTTTGTCTTTTGTTTTCTTAGATCTTTTAAGTAAAGAGATTTTTTTTTCAAATTTGGTAAATAATTAGGTTAAAAAAAAAAATATTCTGATAAAATGAAAAGCAAAAATAGCTTTTCATAATGTTTTTTCTTGGAGCATTTATTACTTTTTTGACATATTTTTTTTTCTGTTTACGATTTATGAAGATTATTAAAAATTTGTTGCTTCGAATTTTAAATTAAATATTTGGTAAACATACGTGCTATACCATTACGTAAATATATCCAGGATCTTTGTTTGCATAATAATTAAATCTGCGTCAAAATTAAAAATTGAAGGAAGCAATAGTGTTAATTAATCAATACATTATTAAATTATTTACATAAAATAATGACAAAATTTTGTTTTGTAAAATTATAAATAATTTTTTTATATATTTATGTGGTTTAATTAACTTGAATTTTTTATTTTTATAAGTTAATATTTATTATTTTTTTTTAAGATATTTTATTTGTTTAAATTTACAAAATAAATGTTGCATATTTGATGTATGGAATGTTTTATATTTGAAAAATATTTCATAAATATTACATATCGCAAACACACATGCAGCTATAAAGTTATTTGATCTGATATAGCAAATATGATGGCTGGATGGATAAAGTGGTAGAGATGTCAGGCTGCTGCTGTTGCACCGAGAGATTCCGGTTTGAGTTTGGGTTGGATCCCCAGAAATTTACAAGTGGCTTGACCAGAATAAGTTATGCCCTGTCTCTTGTCATCTAGCTGCTCCTTGTGATACTATGAGAAAAGATGATGCCTGCAGGACAGAAAGAATATTATATTGTTACATGTACACTAATAATTTAACAATAAGGAAATGGTTTTTTTTATTTTATACACGTAAGAAATAAGACGTATTTTAAGCAATATTAAAGATTATTAGATGTTTTCTGATAGATTAATTTAAAAAATACGATTCCATCAAAAATCTTCAATTATAAATTTAATAATTTATTAGTTTTTGTGGATAAGAAACTCTGATTCTGTATTTTAAGTATCAATTGGAATGTAATATTCAAAAGACATTTAACTTTTAGTAAGGAAAATAATAGGAGGAATTTATAGCAAAATTTATTCAAAGTGCAATATTTAAATTGATCACAAAGAAAAAAGAATCCCCAAAATTGTTTTTATGGAGTTAATTTTGAATAATTTAGTATTTCCTGACTATTTTAAGTTATTAAAACATTCTGATTAATATTTTATTAATAAAAAGTAAAGGTAAAGTGCAAAGAAAATTATACTTTTGTATTTTTATCCTGGAAAAAAAAATCTCTCAATATATCACTTGTTCATCAAAAGTTATTCAGGAATAAAATTTTATGAACATGGAGCGTTCTTGGCGGTAAAAATATGCATTAATTTATTCAACAAAGGTTCACCGAATAAATTGCTGCACTTTTTCCACTGTCAAGAATTTTTTGGTTTAATTTTCTCACTTCAAATGTGTAGATTCATAAAACTATATAATTTTAAAATTTTTTAAAAAGGTCACATTGATTTTATTCTTATTCATAAATTTAACTTTTTATTATTAATTATTCTATATATTATTTTGATTTGTTTCAAAATTATGATAAAAATTTAAGTTAATGAAACAAAAACTGTCTTACATAGATACATAAAAATTATTATTATATAATTATAGTCTATTTTGATTAAAATTTTAATAAAATAAACAAATTAAATTGCAAAAACAATCTAAAAAGCTAAGAATATAACCTTTTTTTTACGTAATATTCAACAAGTTAAAACCAATAAAGTTAGTTGAAAGATTAATTTTTTTTTCAATATTAAATTCCTGCAGTAAAGTCTTTGTGGATTGAACTTAAAAACAAAAAATTTAACATCTGGATTATTTGAATTGTATCTTAGAGAGAATTGAAAGTCTTGAAACCATTATTTTTAAATCTTTACATTTTCAAGATACAAAAGTATTTTCTGTTTAAAAGATTCGAAGAATAAATTTTCTCAATTCTTGAAAAAATGTTTATTTCAATAAATTTAATTCTTAAACATCTAATAATAAATACTTAAATTTAATTTCAGAACAAGCGCCAGTGTATCCGACTACAAAGCAACTACAAGCCGTTGCCATTCATAATGCCATTCCTTTTATCGGATTTGGTTTTTTGGATAATTTTATCATGATTGTAGCAGTAAGTTTCTTAGTTATTGTATTTTAATTTAATAAAATTTAAATATTTATAAGTTTAGTTTTTAAAAATACACGAAAATTGAAGTGTGTTAATTATCAACGTATCGTAATTTATATAAATTTCTGTATTCTTTTTAAAGAAAATTTGATTCATTTTAAAAATGCTTATTGTATATGTTTTGAAGTTTGCTTAATTAAATGGAAACTAATTTAAAATTTAGTCTAACAATTTATTCTTTGCTTACACAAGCAGTTTCTATTATTAATTAGTTTACAATTATCTTAATTTTATTTTAAAGTGCAGATGACTATAATAATTTTATGCATAATTTTTATATACTTGTGAGTGCTATGTTGGCCTCTTTATAACTAGTCTTATTACTAGACTTAATATGCAGAATTGCACTATTCATATCAGAAAAAATGAATGCGATTTTGTAGATTAATAGTATAAGTTACTATTTATAACATTTAATTGCTGAAATAAATGACTAAACAATTACATCACTTACCATTCTTTGGCAATCGATGAAAAATCAATGACTTTAATATGCTAAAAGGAATTAATAATTGATTTTTGTACATAACATAAAATCGATAAAGTAATCATTTATTAGTATCTGTATAAAAAATGATTGATCTATAATGATTAGCTTAGTATTTTAAATCAAATTTCCAACTTACAGTATGCTGAAAAATGACATATTTATAAAACAACACACTGATTAACCATTGCTAAATGCTCACTAAAAAGTAATTACAATAAAGAAAATAAAACTTTCTGTTTTATATAAAAGTTGATATACGAATAAGCTATTTTCATTGAGTGTAATTGGTCTAAATCTTAATAATACTTTTCTGTGTATATATTGTCTGCTTGGACTTTCTTATTAATAAACAAGGTCCAAGCAGGTAATATATATACACAGAAATGTAAAACACTAAGGACATAGTGGTAGAAAGAATTAATACTTAAAAAGAACTCTCATCTAATAGTATTATTATGTATGGTAATGCTATTATCGAAGATGCAGAAAATATAAACAAAGTATCGAGACTTGCTTTCGGAAAGTAAATTAAGTTATATTGATTATGATTATACTTGACATCCGCTATAGCAAAAATATGACATTTTTGCCTCAAATTTATTTATGTTTCATCTCAGAATGGCATTTATATTTTGTCAAGAGTAAATCTCTACATCTCAAAAGGTTGCATATTTCAAACATTATAGACTGTTTATAAATTACTAAATAATTATTTTTAATTTGTTATACTGTATCAATTAAATTAATTTTTAAATTTTGTAAAGTACTTCTTACATTGATGTAATCTTTATTTTTCAGACTAAAATATAACATATGTTAAATTATGTTTTTAAGATATTGAAAGATATATGTTCAAAAATTTTTAGAATATTAAAAAAACAAAAAAGAGAGAATTCCTTTCATTTTAAAATATTCTGTAATATTAAAATGCTTTTGTTATGAAAGTTACAGTTAATAAATGCAAATTGTCAACATATATGTTATGTATAATCTGGTTTTAACTGATGGAAATAATTCTTTATTTCACAACTGGGTGCATAAGTAGACACTGGGTATCTTTAATATCACTCTTTATTCAGGAATATCTTATGTGCACAGTTGTGAAATAAAGAATAATTAAAAGAAGACACGGTTTCGGAATAAGTCAAAGATGAAAATAAATAATTTTTAATAATTAAATTCAAAATTTTCTTTATATGGTTTTGTAATGAAAAGTTTTCATGCCATAGATGCATTGTTAATTGCTACCTGGACCTCCATCCAATCTGTGTTTCCAGAATTGTTTATTTAGATGATTTCATATAACATGTATACTTTTATAAAACATTACATAAAATAAGGTAATAAACTACAGTCGTTAACCATACTTTTACTGTTAAATTCATATTATTCATTACATTTAGTTTCATATAACAAGATTAATTGTAAAAAAATATACATTACGGCATATAAAGTTAAATAAATTGGTTGGTTGTGTTTGATATGCCTTAATGTATAAATTTATACAATCTTGTTACGTAAAAATAAATGTAATGAATAATAAACTACAGTATTTGATGATATTGAAGTTAATTAAATGCAACATTAGTTTATAAATTAAAAAAATTGTTTTATTTTATGCTTGATTTGAATTTAAGAATAACAGGAATTAATAGTTTACTGAAGCAGTTTAAAGGATTTTAACCCTTCAAAAATGAATCTTGAAAACAGCATAAATTCTTATAACATCTGAAATTTCTGGAGTGGAAAATTACTTCTTGCTGAAAGTTACGTAAACTTTTGTAATTTAATAAATAAATAAATTTAATAGGAGTAAAAAAAAACTAGATTTATGGCAGATATAAATGTTTCATACAACTTTATTATTAAAGAATATTTATAAATAAAGCACATAATCAAAATTATTAATCGGATAATATAAATTATTGTTATGCTCAATATTTAATGATGATAATATATTTATTAGCCATAACACTCGTTGTTATTTTTTCTTGACAATGAAATGAAAAATTGTTAGTTATTACTAAATTAACATAACTCTGAAAATAAGAAGAAAGAAACAAATTGATAAATGAATGCTTTATGTATGAATGCGTCTCAGAGGATTGTATTCAATTAATAATTTACAAGAGACCTCCTTTATATGAAGTTAGATTCTTTAGTTTGCCAATGATGTTATATAATGGTAAATGACTGTTCTTTCCTGATGTTTATTCTGAATACTTCTACTTGTTAGTGTAATAGCTACTGTTGTTTATGCCAAATATTTATGATCCTAAATTAATATTTTACATTTACAGATAAATTGTATTAATGGCCTCATAGTTCAATATTTTATTTTGTATTAATAATAATAATAATATATAAATTGATAATCTCCAATTATTTATTTATTGTTTGAATTATTAATAACTCCAGTTAAAACTCAAAATTATAAGTAAATGCTCTGCTGAAGTGAAAATTTGGAAATCTTTGAAACTTGAAGTGTTTGGCTAATCTTCAAGTAGTGTGCTAGATAAAGAAGAGCCATGTCGACTCATTTTTATTTGGTTAATTTAAAAAAAAAATTAATATATTCATTGAGAAAAAGCCAGCAAGATTTCAAGAATTTTTGTAATAATTGACCCCAGGTTGACCAATTTTGCAGACTTATTGTACCTTGTAGAGTAGTCTACAAAAAATTGATTGGACTGATGAGGGACAATGTGTCTGAAATGCATATCTGATATCAATAAAGTCTATACCTTTCTAACTGATTCTAACTCCTTATTGTTGATTAACTTACAAGATGTGATAAGTCTGTAAAATTGGCCAACTCTCTGCTACATTAAGAATTACCCTAGATTAAAAGATATAACAATTATAGACATTTTTATTTGTTAAAAAATTATATGCACTTATACTTAAAGTACTTATGACTAAGAAAATTCATTAAATAAGGCTATTTTAATGTTTGAATACATTCTGTATTAAAATCATTTTTTTTTTTAATTTCAGAAAGTTTTTTCTAAATAATAATTTTATACTTTTAAATGTTATAATAATAAGAAACAATTGAAAAAATAACAAATTTTATTTTAAAGGGTGATTATATCGATGCAACTATAGGTATTACGCTTGGAATATCTACTATGGCAGGTAAATAAATTTCTTATAGAAATAGCTAATGCTTTTATAGAATTTTATTCATTTAACAAGCATAGTTTAGCATAGTTAATTGAAATATTTAAATTTAGAAGCCGTAAAATTGTAATATGCAAGTTTGATCAACTAGACGTGTATTATGCTACATTAAAATGGTAAATCCAAATTGCTCTAATTTATAATCAAAGTATCCGAATATCACAATTTTGAGACAGTTAATGGCTTTTATTTAAAAAAAAACACCATTACTTTAACGCTGAATTTGATTATAAAAATTTAATATTTCATTTTCTAAAATGAGCTTTTTAATATTTTATGTATTATATTTTATTTTCTAAGATTGCTTTAAGATAGATTTAAATATTTCAATGATAATTATTTTAGTCAGGCTTATTGTATTTATGATTTTATACAAATCACATATACATGTAGAAAACTATCTTTCCTTAATGATCATTTATAAATAATTAATTGTTGTGATACAACCTTTTTTTTTCTAACAATAAAATATTTAATAAGTGACCTAAAAATCTAAGTAATATTTTACTAATAATATGTAAAATAGTTTAGATGTAAACACAGTATAATAAAATTTGTCATTAAGTTGTTTCCTAAGCCATTTGGAGGATTTTATATCACATGATAATTTAATAAACAAGTTAAATGAAATTTTACAAAAAGCAATTTTTTTGTATTTTGAGTAGATTCTTTTGTTAACAAAATGAAAGATTCTTTAAATTTCTTTTAATAAATGGACAGATATACAGCAAAGAATGTTTAAAAATGCAGTAAAAGTAAAATTTCATTAAGAACAAACATCTTTGACCATATTCAATGGTTGTCATGAGGTTGTAGAATGAAACAAATTCGGCTAGATAAATATAGAGAAAAAAAATTATATCGAAATGAATTCAAAAATATAAAACTTTTTGAAATTCTGCTATGGTTTTAAAGGTTATTTGTTTTATATCTGTTATATTTGCCCAATTAAAAGTGTATTTAAACAAAAAAAAAATGTAAATAAATAAGATCGTCACAAAATGTACTGATCTTTTTTCGCCGTAAAATTAATTTTATTAATTTCAACCGGATAAGTTGAAAATTAGATGTATTTTTTGTTTACCAATCATTACAGATTTAATTTCAACAAATCCGATTTCTTCTGACTCTCCCAAAAGAACGCAGCTAACATTTCTTTTGGCTAAAATTTAATTTTAGTTTCATGTAATCTAATAGTTTTTACTCTTGAAACTTTGCTGTCATTTATACTGAATACAAATACGCTGTAATAGAAAATTTATTACATTTTTTTTAATTATTTTAGTTGTCTTTTATACTAGTATTTAGTTTAAAATAAATTTAATGGATATTAAGTCATTTATAGAGAATTTTTAAACTGGTTCTTCAGAGCAACAGGCTGACCTTTTTATTATCTTGATCATCAAAATAATGTCAATCAATGCATTAATGATTAAGAAACTTGCCACCAAAGATAGAAATGGTGTCATTTATTGATAAATTTATTGTTAAAAATTAACTTTTTTAATTATTTAATCTTTAGAACAAAGAAATTTATACAAATATAGCTAGCGCATTATTATTTTATTGTTTTTTAATGTTTTATGAGTCAAGTTAATGTGAAACTATAATTGTAACATATGATATTAATGTAATGTTTTGTATTTACATAAAATAAATAAATAATTTTTCTTAATTTAAAGATAGTTTTAGATATATCATGCAATTATACAGTTTTATAAATGTCAGTCTTTTTACTTACGCTTTAGCTGCCGGCTTAGGGAATGCTTTATCTGATGTTTGTGGAATTGGGTAAGTTGTTATACGTTTTAAACATAAAATTTTATTATACTTAGTTGATTAATAACTTCTATTGTATTAAAATATAATAGATCAGCTTGGTATGTTGAAAGATTAGCTACTAAAGTAGGTGTACAGGCACCATCACTTACACCACTTCAAGTTGATATGCCAAGAACACGCTGGAGTGCTAATATGGTATAAATTTTAAAATAATTGGAAAATTGACATTACTGTTAACAGTTCTAATAAATAATTATATAAATGATGTAAAGGCTTGCATGAATTTTATTGAAAGAATTAATTATTATTATATTTTTTAATAAAACTGATTCAATATATAAGTAAGTTACGTTAATTTTTTTAAATATAGGGTAGAGCTTTAGGCGTTACCGTTGGTTGTATTTTGGGTATGGTTCCGCTACTTTTTCTCAAAGAGAAGAAAACTGTACAAGAGGAGGAAGTGAAGAAAGGCTGACAGTACTAGAGTTTAGACACTTGCATTTAATTATAATACGAATAGACTCACGGTACTATTCAGGATAAGGAATGATCTGATTGGGTTTAATAGACGTGTTTTCAAGTAACGTTAAAAGCCTAAATCAGCTATTTCCACAAAATCAGAATTTTAGCCCAGTAACGTTTATATGATGCGTATAATCTATTAATGTTGTTTTGCCTTAAACTTTTACAGAAGAGATTAAAGTATATATATTTGTGTTTTTAGATGTTTCCAATTGTGATACCAGTTTCTATGTTAACTTGGAATCATATTTGTGCACATTTTAACTGTGTTATTAGATTTTATTTTATTTTTATTTAATTTATTTGCTCATTTTATTCAGTTTATTAATAATCATATTTATTTTCAGTATTTAAGTTTACAAGAATTTATTCTTATTATTAATGTTAAAAAGTTTAACTTCTAGGTTGCTTTATAAGTAAGGTAATTATTGTATAATTGCACAAAAAAACTATATTACGAAGTTTTGAATGTAGCAAATAGCTAATTTTTATATTGAATGTCTTAATAATATATGATAGTATTGAGCTTAAGTGATATCCAAAGAAAAAACTCTATAAATTATGGCATTATATTGGTTAATTATCTGTGAATGAAACATCTAGGTCAGTGGTTCTCAGCAGAATTGTTACATTATATTAAATTGTCTAAGGTTTTCGTGGGATTCTGTGAGATCATCTCTAAAAAAACAAATCGCATATCTTTGTTAATTCAAGTAGCAATTGTTATTAAAGAATTATTACCATTATTTGCACGAAAAGTAAATAATTACTAAGAAATCTTATACTTGTAATATTTTAAATTAAATTTATCTGGCTAATTTTATGGTGCTGCGAGTTGAAATGATTGAGAACTACTAACTAGATACTCGAATAATGGATAATTATAATATTAAAGCAAGATTCACATATGCTATTACAATGATATAATTGGTGATGGCATGTTACATAAACACTGTTAAGTAAATTGTATAAAATTTACTTAACAGTGATTTTGCAACAAATTACCTGAAAATTATGTACTTATATATTAATATAAATTTATACTTTAATTAAAAAGCATATCATTGAGTATACAATTCAAATAAACTTTTAAGAATAAACCTTATATTCTCTACTAGAATATTCTCAATTCACTGGTAACTACTTTTGGATATCATTAAAAAAAAAAAATACAANGAAAATTATAGCTAAATAAGTCATCTCTTGTACAAGTCTACACTAGAAACATCGTATACTACACTAAACAACACTGTACAAGTCTTAACAATAACACATGCATCACACACTGTATTAGATACAATAACACATCACACACTAGGTCACATGCATTGCACTTCACCACGTGCTGTACACGCAATCACAATCATTCTACACACGTACAACACACCAGATCACACCACAGCACATACATCTCACACAGACAGGAAATTATTAAATATACATACACCAAAAGCATGTAAAGAAATTAAGTTTTAAGCCTTGACTTGATAACTTACAAGGCACACCCCACTAACAATAATAGAATCACGAATAGAGGGTGCGATTTTAGTAATTCTAACAGTGAACTAGCGCTATGCCTGAACGTCCCCTGACTTTATTTGAAGCAATCGTTCTGATGTAGCTTGATGTTTCGGCTATAAAAAGCCAGTTACAGAAATGAGATCTTGTCTAAATGCCAGTTACATCATACCGTGGGCTATCAAATCCTCTTTTAGGCGGGCGATTGATAATCGTAAACTATTGTTCTCTACAATAGCCGCAGCATACTTATGCTGCGGCTATTGTAGAGAACAATAAGGACGGATTTGTGTCCGCACCTCATTTCTGCAATTGATCCGATCAGTTCTACCGAGTGGAATTTTCAAACAACCTCCTAGATTTTAGCATAGTAATGAATAATGATGAATATCTAGCTAAATAATCATATAATAATTAATAGATTAAAAACAGTATCTTATAGATTTATAAGAAGTTCTGCAACTAAACTATTTATGCATTATTTACAATAAAATCTGTATATAAATCAAAATACTGTATTGTTTTTACATATAATTTGTCATTTATTATGGATATTTAAATGATAATTTTGCCTGTATCTGTTACAAATTTAAAAAAAAAAAGAAAAAAATGTGCTGTAAAAATTGATTTTCAGTTCTTAAAATGGATAAAAGTTGCCATTTTAGTGATAAATTTCAAGTTTTTAAAGACAGTAATGAAGCCGCAATAAATTAAATTTTGAATTTTATAAATATAAATGTTAAATATTTAAAAGATTTATTACTCAGGGATATATAAGATTATATATATATCCTTTTTTTCACATTTATAAAGAGAGAAAAGTAAATAAATTCTAAGTTTTAGAATTTGTTCAATGTAAATATTGTTAAATGTTATATTATTTTTACAATAATCTCATTGTTTTTTAATACTATTGACAATCTGTTGAATGCACTAATCCAATATGCACCATTAAAAAAAAAAAAGATATATAAATGTGTAAATTAAATTAAATTTAATTTAAAATATTCTTGTACTTTTAATTGTTTTTTTTCTTCCAGTTAAAAGGAAGAAAATTTACATATAGGGTGGCCCATAAATCAGTTACTCGGTAGAGGACTTTATTTGGAGCAGCTAAAAGAAAAAAAAGGGGGTTTTTAACTGATTTTTGGGCCACCCTGACATTAATTTTAAGCTAACCATTAACAATAGATTCGATTTTAAGCTTGTGTAAAGTAGAAAATGGAAAAATCCTCTTTTTGTATAGGTTAAACGGCTTCGGATAAACATTCTAACTGTCTAAATATAGCTTTATATCTACAACTCGCGTGATTAAACTTATGTTTTTCCAAACGCCATAATCATTCTCTGCATAAATTCAAATAATATCTAAGGTTTCTTATACAATAAAAATCGATAGATTGATCGTTTGCATGTATCAACCTTATTTTACCATCGATTTTATGGGGGTAGGGAAAAGTTTTTTTTTTTTTTTTAAAGGCAATTTATGTTAAATTATGTAAAGATTTATTGCTTAAAGTAATGAGGCATAAACGGCTAAATAATATACATTAAACCAAAATTTAATACGGCGGTTAATTATGAAAATATTCATTTTTGACAGGCGTGGAGCGGTAATAGAAACTGTAATTTCGATTAATCTGGTAATTCTATGGCAGAAAAAAAACAGATTTCGACACATCTGTCGACCTTTAAAAAGCCATTCTGCTTTATGTAATACGTTATTTAAAGTCTGGCACCGTCACATTTTTAAGGTAATTTCTGACAAGATGCTCATAAACTATGTTAATCGATCAGTAAAAAAAAAAGGACTTCAATTGCAATTGAAGTTAACTTTTTTATTATTATTTTACATTGCCTATGTATTGGCAATTGTCTGGGGGTCAAACCAATCGCTTATAAGAAAATATTTCTGCCAAAAACAATAGAAACTGGAAGAAAAATAACTGAAGTAAACACTAGATGAGGGGCTCCTTAATTCAAAATAAAATAGGGCCTCTTCTGGAGAAGTCATTTTGTGGACTTTTGGAGCCCTTTCGTGTTTCGAACCCGAACCAAATAGGCATAATAATCACCTTTATGTCTATACGTGTTACCTATAATTACAAAAATGAGAGTTTTTAAGGGATTCATGGCAATAATAATAATATAAAAAACGGTTTAATGATGGCGATACATTCTAGTATTCATCCTAGATGCTTGTTTTTAGACCCAATCGAGGCATTGCCGTGTTTATAGCCTGCGATAGGGCCTAAAAAGTTTTAACGTTGCTTAGTAGCTTTATAAGTTTTAAAAATAAAACATATATTTAATTTTATTCGGTTTATAGGTCTTAGGCCCTACGACCATTTTGTCAAATTTTATTATAAAATGTACTATAATTTTTTAAAATAATACCGCGTTATGTTTTTATTATAAGTAGGGCCTCTCTCGATCTAAGATGCCTCATTTAAGGAATTATTTAATAAATTATAAGCGGATTACTCAGTAACACTATTATAAACTCTGTTAACTGAAAATTTAGATTATATTAATAATAATCAATAGAAATTGATATAGATAACAATGAGGCCATTTAGTTTAGACCCCCTGATACAGGGGGCCTCAAAATTTAGTATTTTTACGTAAAAAGATACGATTATATGAATTAAAATCATTTCTGATAGGTTGAAAGTATTTATTTTATTGATTTTATTCACGTATATTGATGGCTTTCGGAGAAAGAGTTCATCTTTCTTACCTTTCAGACCCTAAATAAATATATATACGTTGAAAAACAGTGGAGTTATTTTTGGACAGAGCTATAGAAACGTTTTCCTTTGTTGTTGAAGGGAAAAAGCTGTTGAAATCGAGAGGGAGACGAGTAAAAACACTCGAAAACTACCTTTTACTTAGTACTAAAGTAACAATGTATGAGAACTGGCTGAAGGTTATAACGTTTTAATCCTGATATAAAGTAGCAAATTTGATTGAAAATGTTTTTAAAATAAAATATTAATTTATTAATTTTACTTATTTATTTTGACGTATACACGAAACGAGCCAGAATAATGATTCATGCACAATTATCCTTGGCAATTTCCTGTTTAGGAATGACCAATTACTATTCTTTTTTCTCTTTCTTTAATTTAAACGATGCGTTAAAATTGTCTAAACGAATTTTTATTTATTAATTTATATAACACAGGCCTTAGACAAACAGGAGATTCCGTTTATATAAAGTAAATCAAACAATATTAAGGTATAGGACTGTATAACAATAACAGCAAGGTACTGAAGTCGCGAAATGAATCACGAAACAAAATTTTATCAATGCAAACAGAAGGGCTGGCACGTTTAATCACTTCCAGTGTTACGTTTACACGTGTTTCAAGGTCGGTGAATCATTGTGACGTCAATTGGAAAAGAGAAATTTGTAGACAGCTGATTTGTAAAATAATGGAGTAATTCAGGTGTCGATTGAGGCCCGGACACTTGCCATTTTAAGGCCTCGAGTGAATTAAATTTTTGAATTTAAGTTAATTTTAATAACGTTAGATAGAAAAGAGTATTGTTCAGATTAAGTTAGTATTATTTTTATTATCTAAAAATAGACGATTGTTCAGAAAAGCTTTCATGTCATTTAATTGCAAACTTTAGAGAAATTACAAAAGTTTCTGCAATTAAATATTATAAAAATTAAGAAAAAGTTTCGTAGGAACTTTAATTTTTCAAAAATTATATAATTTTACCTTAAACTTTACAAATTTTATACTTATTTTANGCCAAATATTTATGATCCTAAATTAATATTTTACATTTACAGATAAATTGTATTAATGGCCTCATAGTTCAATATTTTATTTTGTATTAATAATAATAATAATAATAAAAAGCATTTCATTGGAAAGAAATGCTGGCGATTTTTATACTAAAATAATGAGCAAAAAAAGTAAAATCTGTACCTTAATTACATCATTAAAACAACGTTAAATGTTTATTTTGAATCAAATAATTCTTTAAAATCTACTTTGAAAGTAAAAATTGCTCCTTTTTTTTTCGTATTTTTAATCATTAATTTGTACTGGATAGAACTTTTCCATTACGTTGTGCCAGTATGATTGTGTTCTTTATGAAATTTTTTTCTGGCTATAAAACTATAAAAACAAGCTTGTTAAGTAAAAAAATAATTAAATTTGGAAGTTAAATTTTACTATAAAATTATAATTAATAAGTTTTTAAGACGATGGAAAGGCTGTAAAAACGATAAACTTATACCCTGTATCAGGGGTATTGTAGATGTACTGTACATAGATATGTTGAGAAAACGTATAAATTAAAAAGGAATAAGTTTTAAGATTACTTTTTATTGAAGGAAATTAAGCATATAAACATAAAATAAATTAATAAATTAATAAAGATCGTAATTATGGCTAATTTTTACTAATTGTTGGCTCTCTTTACACGTCTCTTTCATCCTCCTCCCTCTTCCTCTTCTTCAAATTTAATATTTATTAAATGAATTCTGAATGAAAACTTAAACTGGTTACATTTTTAACCATATTTTAATTTTAAAAAGTCACGCTACTTCCGATCCATACAGGAAGTTCGTATACAGTATTGTATTAATTTTTCTTGTCGACAGTTGTTTCATTTCCGTCTTTGACAGGTTC